TTAGCGATGCACATAAACACTGAAAAGTGGTCTATGTTTGTGCCAAAATGATGTAGAACGGTGTCGCGACTCGAGAGGGATTAAACCATCTTTACTATGAAGATGTGCATGTGGAAGCTAAATGCGAGACTTAGCAACAATCCATTTGTGTCTTATTAATCCATCCACAACTACATTCCAATTCGTTGAACCAACAACTCATTCGCTCCCATCAATCGATAAATAAGGAAAGTAGCTATACCTCTGTGGAAAGTCTATCGAACAGAAAGAACTGAAAGAAAGTTGGATTTTTCTTTGGCACCATAATTTTGGGATAAAATATACCCTAACAGATCAGTGAAATGCACATCCTTGAGAACAAAGCGCACATTACTAATTGTTTTTTACAGAGGTTACGACTATCGCGCTCTGCTGCTCATGTGACAATGGGTATTTCTGAATTTTTGGAGTCACGAAACATTTGTTACAGTCGACCTTAAAACAATCCTAAATTAAATCTCATGAAAGGAAAAAAAACTGGATTCGACGGTCCCAAAGCTTCTCAAATAAAGTATAATGAACTGGTAATGTGTGAGTGCTCCCCACCTGTCAACTTAATCCATCTTCAACAAAAACACATATGTCGGCCAGCATTCAGAATATATCAAATAACAAACCAAACAATTTCTTAAAGTGCTGCTAATTTCGTTCTGCTTCCCCATCAGCTAAACCATATTCCTCACACTTACGACAATAGAATATCATGTTAAATGAATAAAGATTTTAGGGCTTACTGCGGGTACAATTCAATTGATACGCCCCTGCTGAGGTCCCATACCTTGCCACCGAAGTAGAGGATGCACGGCGGCGTAATTTATGCTGCTCTGCAGCAGTGACGGAGGTGATAGAAGATGGAACTTCATCAACTCTCGGCACATGGACCAACGAAAGAGTCTCATAGCCATCGCGTTTGCTGGCGTGCCGCTTGATGGCACGCTCAACTATCGGTGCACCTCCATGCACCCGCCGGCCGGTAGGACCGTAGAGGGCCGATGAGGGTCCCAGCGTTCTTGAGCGCTCAAGGCTACGGCTACGCCGAGTGCCATCACTCCTACCATCCCCGATGCTGATTATACTACGTGCTGCTAAGTTATTTCGCGAGCGACGTCGCGCGATTTCCGCCTGTGCCTGCAACTGTATACTGGAAAGGCGCAGAGGCGATTGCTCCGCAGCGTAGATCTGCGTCTTCGTCGGCACTGCATGATCCCCAAACCAAATGGAACTGGAGGAGAGAGTTGAGCTACGTGGGAGGAAGCCAGTCACTCCACTCATTGTACGTCGACGCGTGCGGATCAAAAGGGTATCAGGAAGTTCTGATTAACAAAATAGGTCCAAACACATGAGCTGATGTTCTCTTTTACTATAGTGGAACATTGAGCAAACGTTCATAGAACGTACCTTCTTCAGGAATGTTTTGGTCCATTGTTCGTAATGGACCGACGCCTTCGTGGAACTTGATTCGGTCGTAGATATCGGCCCCAACGACATTTTGGTCACTAGTGGTATTCACGTAAAGAGGATACTGTAACGGACGGAGGCGCTTGGTGCGCATTGCAGGATCCTCAGCTGAAATTTAAAGTGTTTACGAATTTTCAAAGTAGTAAGTAAGTAGATTTTTCATACCGCAGCCATAAGATTGTTGCCAAAAGTGGACGAGTTCTGGTGTTGTTGTAGCGCATTTCGTCTGGTAATAGCAACAGAGACATCAATTACCTAGTCTCTCAATGGGAAGTTTAAGTAAAAAAATTGCATGGGCAAAGAATGAATAGATGTTTTAGGATTGTAGACCAAAGTAACTGTAAGCATTGTACCGGGTAGCTCAGCGAGAGCAGCCTCGAGGTTTACGGGAAGGGCTGGAGGACGAAGGCCACTCTCGTCATCCACCCAACTGTCGTCGTCGTCGTCGTAGTCATCCCCCTCCTCCATTTCCTCTTTTAAAGCCTTCATCACGGGAGCCAGACGAGGCAGCTCCCCATCTGCCCAGCTGCCTTGCCGCATTGAACGGCGTGGTGCAGGTAGCGGTCCTGTATCGTAAGCGTTGAGACCATTCGTTTCTGAGGCGCAACAAGATACATATATCGGGAGCTTCAATTCATATCTCAAAGGTATAATTTAGTAATTTTTTATCCCTTCAAACTAGTGTATATTCACACTTCCCTCAACACCAAACTTTATAACCGTCCGATTCAAAGATGTAAGTTGGAATCATGTCAATTTGCCAACCTGTTTTTTGGGATTTAACTAGCACAAGTAATCAGACTTTAATTACGAGCTTTGTCGTTTGTATGCCTATCTAAAAGCTCGTAAAAAGAGGGCACCGCATCACAAAAAGATTGAGGGTGTTTATTTTAAGCGACAAACAGGGGTAAAGGCCCTTTTAAATGGGAATGGTGTCATTAAGTCGATGCTCTACTTTGAATTTAATTACCCTTGGCAAATGGGTTAGTTGTAAACTTGTCTGCACAAAATTGTGCGTCTGACTATGAACGGGCCATCCTGTCCACTAACGACCATGGACAAACGTATGACTAATCCGGTTTCGCCCGAGAATCACGCATAGGCTAGGACTAGGGCAACATATGAGAACCACGTCTTTGAATCAAATTAACGACTATAACACAGAACCTGACTTATAGAGGCACGATAATTTCATTTATCTCCTATAAGGCTTAGAACTAATAAAAATAAGCCAGAAAGTATTACCAGACTTAGTTAATCTTACAATGCAAAAAAGCAACCAGACATTGGCTGAAAAGGTGTAAGTACTGAAGGAACTTCGGCATGAATTGAAGAGAACGTAAAGCTGTTTGATTCCTTAGCATTGCAAAGCTAAATGGTGCCTCTGTGCTTCTGATCACAATAACTAACAACTATAATGATTCAAGTTTGACTACATATAATCCAAAATTACGCCGTTCAGGGTTCAGCTAACTTTGCTTTCCCAGTGTTCTCTTTCGTGTTGACCAAATCCAGCGTTCACCTTGACGCCAACGAATCATAGGCCTGCCCTACCTTCATGCTTTGGCCACTCGCTGCGATGACGATAACGGTGTGTTGTAGAGCTCGAGGTCAGACCGCCGTTCCGTTCATAAGTTGACGAAATCAAATCTTCCTCTGAACGCGGATCGAACGGACTGCGGAAGGGGTTGCAATGTGAGAGCGCATCATCAGAATGGGTCACCAGTTCTTCAACATTCGGATTTAGTTCGGTACTTTCTCCTGCAAACAAGATGGAGGAATGTAGACACCCATAGTCGCTTAGTGTCTAGAATATTCTGCATTCATTAAAGGCATTAGTAGAGCCCTTCACATGAGATTAGCTGTAACTTTTGATTGTCATTTTATTTGATCGCCTGGTTGCACAATTGGCATGCAAATCTGTTACACCCAGTTCTTTCGAACAAACCAAATAAGTTCATATTTTACCTTCATATTTTACCTTTTAAAAGTCCTATCCTACTAGTTGCGGTAAGCCTATGAGGAATAGTTTTTTTTACATTCTTTAGCACCTTGTTAAGTGAAACGTGATAAGTTTAGCTGATCCAGATACGGCAAAATTATATCAAGAAGCACTACTCCTAACTATTTTGAGTATTAGAAACCAATAAGCGCTGTGAGGACACCGTACATATGGCCAGGCGAGGGCACCACTTATGAGTCGCGGCTATAAAATAAAGTCGATACCACCTCACGTGATCTGCGAAGTGCACTAATGAGTCAGCGTCCAAAATGGCGTAATAGCGCTAAACAAGGCGATGAGTCGATGAAAAAGTGTTGCTGAAATGCTGCGAAAAATGGATTTCGCAAAGAAACTAGCGCCGTGGTGTGCTCAAAGTAGAGGCTGTGACATTGGAGTGGGTGGTAAAGGCGAAACAAGAGATGCCTTAAAGGAGGCGCTCAAGTGTTCACTTCAACCTTTGATAGTGTATAAAAGAATGCGACAGATCACTAGTTAGCAGACGATTGATTTGACAGATCATGAAACCCGGTGATCAAGCGCCCGAATTCTTTGGCACAGCCGTAGTCGGGAATGAGATGAAGACGATCCACATTAACGACTACAAGGGGAAATACTGCATTCTTTTCTTCTACCCTCAGGACTTGTGAGTTGAGTCCCACGGTTTAATTTTACACTGCTTCGGAAGTAATTCGTCGGTAATTGCTTGAATCAAGCAGACACACCTCAGTCGGATACCAAATCAGCTTCAATAAGTCATTAGAGGAATAATGCTAATGTGTTAGAAAAGGGAACCGAAAGTGAAATCGCCAGTGTAACGAAAATCCACTTTACTTTAAATACACCCAGAACCTCTCCTCGTTCAACAGACGTGAATGTTGTTAATCCAAGTCGTGGGATTAAAATTCTTGGCATAGAACATTCAAGCGACAACAAATAAACCCAACATGCTTTTAAGCACCACAGTTCCATTAGCATAAAAACAAGGGCTTTTAATACCAATTATTTTCCAACTTAAGAGCATCTCAGGACACGTCATAAGCGCAAAGACGTGATTTTCATGCTTTGATGAAATAAGGGAATCGACCTTTGTTAATTTATGTACCCTAACATCACCTTTTAATCAGCGTCAGGACAAGATTATGGTGTGAGATATCGCTCCACTGCCTTTTCCCCTTTAATTGCAGCACTTTCGTGTGCCCAACCGAGATCCTCGCATTCAACGATCGCTTGGATGACTTTAGGAAGATTGGCTGCGAGGTAGTTGCCTGCTCCACAGATTCGCAGTATTCACATCTTGCATGGTGCAACATGGAACGGGCAAAGGGAGGTTTGGGTAAGCTCAACCTACCCCTCCTTGCCGACACTAACATGGAGATCGCACACAGTTACGGTGTGCTTGATAGAAGGGCGGGTACCGCTTTCAGGTAAGCCATGGTCTTGCGTTTCAGCATAACGTAATTACCCCTACATTTGCTAGTATCACACCAAGGCATGTTACCCGAATGCATTGCCGTTGGATCCGCTAGGATTGGCACATAGTGCAAAAATAGTGTAGGCAGACTTACGGATAAGCACTTTACAAAAGGGCCTAGAATGTAATTGTCTACTACCAACCGGGACTAGATGATCACAGTTATGTAGCGAAGTTCCAATGCTCAATGTTTGAAACAAGTCATTTGAACTGCAACTTTTGCAATTATAATGTTCACTGAAGTCGACTTCACATTGACTGACAGGCATTTATAGGGACAAAGTCCTGTTATAGTAACCCTGACATGGTCATTTCAAAGGAGGTGAAAGCCCCGCATATTTTGAAACTAAGTGCTCTGGAAAGTGGTTAAACGGAGCCACAGAACCTAAGACAATTACAAGAAAAAAGGGCGATGAGTCAGAAAATCTGATGTGGCGTAGTTAAAATCGATAATAAATGGATTGCTTTTGGGATTTAGTGAAAACACAACTTTTATTTTTTATTTTACACCAGGGGTCTCTTCATCATAAGTCCTGATAAGAAAATACGTAGCATTCAAATTAACGACAACCAAGTTGGCAGATCTGTGGACGAGGCTCTGCGGTTAGTAAAGGCATTTCAGTTTACCGACAAATATGGAGAGGTCTGTCCCGCTAACTGGCACCCCGGGGAGAAGGGCATCAAGGTGCCGCAATGAGGCCATCAAACCTCTCATCACTCCCTCTGTACACCTTAGGATTATGCCAATCAATAAACTAACTAACCGATCTTAACTTTGCCCTAGTGAACATTTTCAGCTTTTAAAATGTAATTGAGAAATGTGGTTAAATGAGGAAAATCTAATACATGGTAAATGAAAAGCATAATCCGAGATGATATTCTCCAATTTACAGGACTGCTTAACCCACTGATAGGTAATGCCTTCGACTACGTGAATCGCAGTCTTAAAAATAACAAGAAAAGGTAAATGGGAACATCAACTGGCAAACTGCGAAGATTACAGCATAAACACATCCAACTAGCACCTTTATGACGGTTACACTTTGTTAAGTAAAAATGATCATGATTGGGATCTTTGTGGAAAGTCAATAAGAATCTAGTTCGTGCGCACAGTTTGTCGCTGTTCTAAAGCCAATTAGCATGGAAACAACATCGTAAGACATTCGAAACCTCTAGATTAATTCATCCTCACCACAGCTACGGCTCGTGCGAACAATTCCGAACACTCGCACTCTTTAATTAGACTAATCAATGCGGTTGTAATACAGTGACGAAAAAAGATCCTGTTTATTAAAGTGAATGTATAATTACCGATGACTGACCTTGAAGCGGATACCATAGCCATGCCAATGTGCTTTTGTGTGTTAAACTAAATAAAACCAACAGTTTGCTACCAAGGTTATTGCGTAAAGAGCAATTTGAGACAGCTTTGTGTTCAGTTGTAAAGACATTTTGGAGTGACAAAGGAGCACTCTCTCCTTTAAATTAGGTAAGACCAGAAGAGATAAATGTAACCAGACCATTTGGGGATTCGCGATTGCAGAAGTTGGTAGAGCAAGGAGGGCTGCCGGAGTCAAGAGATGTGGGCACTCTACCCCTTTGTTGTATCGACCGCTTTTCCGGCCTCGGTGGTAGACGCGGGGTTGAACCTGCGACAACTTAATGAAATGTTTATTCTGTCCAATGTAAGCGGTCAGGTGAAGTTGGACCATAATTTGCTGTAAAGCGTGATTAAATTTACGCAAGACGTAACAGGTAAATAACGCCGCTGAGCCATCACGATCCACGAGTTGTCCTTTATTGATGTCGGACGTGTGCTCCAAGACATCTCGAGCACCCCCCATGTCAGCATCAGTGTGAAGAGCTCATAAAGCATCTCACACAATAAACATGGACACATATTTGTCAAGTTGATGATTTGTAGGCAATAGGTCAAACTTGTAACCAAAAACCTAACAACATGTTAATCGCCATTTACAAGAAAGTGGACTCATCTAAAAGACCAGGAAACCGTCAAACTGTCTTTATTTTACACAAAGGCAAGGCGCCACCAGGCAGTAAGCAAACTCGTACCCCGGAAAAGCTAACACCGGACAAATCAACATCACAGTTCAATAAACGCGTGGCCAAAGCCCAGGAAAGCCATACGTCCAGTACAGCCAATGGCCTACGTGCTTCAAGGTCGTACGCCACACAAGCAAGAGCCAACCTACAAACCAATACGCTTAGGGCTAAGGCTAGGAAACCAATCGAAATACAGCAGGCGCTTCGCTATATTTGGCGATAGAGGGCTTAGTGTTAATAGTCGTTGTTTGTGTACGATGGCTGGTGTTGTCGCCGCTGTTGGTAAGCCTGCACCGGGTTTTACGTGCAGAGCTCTTGTCGACGGTGAACTCAAGGACGTGACCTTATCGGACTATAGAGGGAAATATGTGATTCTCTTCTTCTACCCAATGGATTTGTAAGCCGTCCTATTTAATTTCATCCCGAATCTACGTTCTTGCTTGGAATAACATTTTTCTTACTAGTACATTCGTCTGCCCTACTGAGATAATCGCTTTTAATGATCGCGCTGGTGAATTCCATCAGCGTGGATGCCAACTCCTCGCGTGCTCAACGGATTCGGCCTACTGTCACTTGGCTTGGAATAATGTGACTCGGAAGGAGGGTGGCGTTCAAGGCATGAAGATTCCGATGCTCGCCGATACCAATCACAGAATCTCACGCGATTACGGCGTACTGATCGAGGAGCAAGGTGTTGCCCTCCGTGGCCTTTTTATCATTGACGACAAGGGAATTCTGCGCCAGATCACTATCAACGACTTGCCTGTTGGCCGCTCAGTGGATGAAGCTCTGCGCCTCCTAGACGCCTTCCAGTTTACGGACAAGCACGGTGAGGTGTGTCCCGCCAACTGGCACCCTGGATCGAAAGCTTTCAAGCCTAATGCGGGTGACTTGAAAGCATTCATGAGCTCAAGATAGCTGTGGATTTCCCAAAATTCTAGGAAACCCATTTGGTTGATGTGTTATTTCCCATCAGTGTCCGTGTTTTTGATTGCGCTCGGTTGGGACGGCCTGCACGGTTCTAAACCTAGGGGAAGGTGACGTAGGCTCGCATAGAGCACTCGCAAGGCGCAATTAAGTGGCGGGGATTTGGGGCGTCTGCTGGGCGCATGTGGTGGCGCTCGATAAATTTGGGTCGGGGACGTTCCCGCGGCGTCATGACGTTGGGCCTCCCTCCCCTCGACTCGGGCTCACCGTTCTTGGGGAGGCGCTCCCGTCGTGGCGAGTCAAGACCTGCATATTACAGAATTAGGCCGAGCTGCACTCGGTAGAGTGCGTGTGAGCACTCTCGCTTTTTGAGCTGGTCGGGTCGTGCAACGGGAGAGGAGGGTGGGCGTCGAGCGAGGGGTACAAATTAGGAGTGCGAGGTGGGTTGGACGTGTGGGTAACCGAGGCGCGATGTAAATGGCGAGAACGGGGTTGCCGCCACGTCCTCAGATCGGGTCAGAAAGTCGGCAGGCGCTGTGTCACGCCGAGTGGGCGTCGCTCGTAGTCGTCCAATACGCTGCCGGTGGGGAGTGCGACAGCCGAGTAACCTCGAGGGGTCGGCATTGCCACGCGGGGAGCGGGACTCTATCATATGCCTAATGCACTAGAGTGCGAATGTAAGGGACGGGCAGATCGTCGAGGACCTGACGATGTCTTATTTCCGCAACCAACTCACTCTTGTC